CAGAGAGAGATGGAGAGATGGAGAGATGGAGAGATGATGCTGCACTCTCTCCACCAGCTGCTCTCATGAAACTTTCAGCATTGATGGTGCGCTGACTTCTGCCATGCTCAGAACAAACCAGGTTCAGATCCCTTGCTGTTGACTGAGCCAGTACAGGCAGGAAGCGCGAGATCAGTCTGTCTACATGACAAAGCAAGACTGGCAATAGTTCACACAAAAAACATGGGTGCGTGCAGAGGCCACATTTTTTTTGAGTCGAACGTGCTCAAAATTCAAAGCCCATGTCTTTCTGTTGCGAGCTGCCAGGCATTCCCTGCACAATCTCCGGGGCCAAATGTAAGTGGGGTGAGTGGCGCCCCTAGCAAGCAAAAGGAAACAAGTGAAATCAAAGAAAATCAAAGAAACGCATGGCGGAAGGTGTTGTCACCTCGGTCACTTTACTCACTGCAAACAAGCACATTTCATCGTTTGATACCGTTTGCATATGTGTGCATCATAATTCCTCGATGTTTCGTGTTTGCCTGCTGTGTGAGTGGCCATCATGATTGCTTCCCAGGCGAGGAGGCGCAGACTTTGAAGGATCCACCTACCCAGCACGCTGAAAAAATTGCGCAGGTACCTTCCTGAGTAGACCGTTGAAATGCGTTGAGTGCAGCTGCACGCATCAAACTTTCTGGAATTTTCATATCTGGCTACGATTGTTTGCCGATTTTCTATTTGCAACGGTTTCTAAACAGTAACTTGAATTCAGCTTGCGAAGCAAGGCAAGCAATTCGCAAAACGATGGAAGCAGCGACTTGGGAAGCAATAGCCTGGAAGATTCAGGGTGTGACATGCCTCTTGTTATCATGATGAAGCCGAAATTGAGAGCCTGCAATTTCCGGTGTGTTTCCCATGTTTTTCCATGTTTTTCCATGTTTTTTCTACTTTTCTTTCTTTTGTTTGGTCCTTCGCATTCAGCCGTGAGCGCCCCAAGGCAACAGCCATACTACAAACAGTGCCAACACGACGCCTCGAATGAAGGGATCGGTGGAGAACTTGGATTATGTTTGGCATCTGGATGCTGATGACTGCTGGATGATATCTCATGATATCTCATGATGCTTGGATGATGGTGCCATGTGCAAAATCACAAGCTCTAAGACTCTAAGCGTGCTTGAAACACGCGATTGACCCTTCTGTTTCTTGTATTGAAGTGTTCTTATTGAGAGTTTTTTTTTCCAAGTGGCCCTTTTGCAGATGTTTCTAGTAGCGCAGGCCCGACAATATTTTTGTGACTCGTAGATTACTGCAACGTCATATAATTTTATGGATATGCAATTCTCACATAGGCTCACTTGATGTCGCTTCCTAGGCATCTGCGCCTTCATCATCACACCTCCTTGGCCTAAGTGCACCGATCGCACGCCATACACGATCTGGAAGCGTGGGCTTGCGAGGATTGCTGCGTTTGTCACTTCGAAGGGCTGAAGGGATATGTGGGATATACAAGTGCGAGTTGCGGCTGCTTCATGTGATTTGCAACTTTGAGATGCAAACTTTGAACCATTGCAGGAGGCAAAGCAAAAAAACCACCCATTAATCGAGTGACAGGCGGGACAAGAACATTTTTTCATTTCAGACATCTGAAACAACGTGGCGTAGCGTGCCTGGTGTGCCTCGGCTGAGGTTTGCCAACATATCCAGCCAAAACTTCGAAGATGCCGCGTCCCAAGCCGATCTGGTCACATGACCATGCAATAATATGCAATTCAGTGCTCATCGATGCTCACTGGCTTCTCACCTGGGACGTCCTGTGACCAACTAAAGAATGAGACCCGCGCTTGCATAAGAGATCATAAGAGTACATAGTGCATTATAAATAATATAACTTATATATAAGAACCCACATGCATCCTACCCGGTCCTGGTCCTGGTCCTACCCTCCACCCAATCTCCACCCTTTCAAAATGTTCGATGCCGTGGTAGGGGTGGCTGGAGATGAACAGTGAGTGGTGAGCGCAGACTGCAGTGGACGGCAGTGGACTGCCAAGATCACGCGGCTGGGCTCGACATAGCGTCAATCACGTTCCAGTGCATGGTTAATTCATTGTCCAGCGGCTGGGGAGGACATGGGTCATGATCATGATCAAAGAGCGGAATAGAATGGAATAGAGACAAACATAAATAAAGATTGATAAAGGATGATAAGCTACAGGGAAGAGACCATGACAAGATAACATAAGATAACTCGTTGCTGAAATGCCATTCCCAGCAGATCGCAGCTGGCATGTACATTTTGTTTCCTAACGTTTCGCAGATTTCTCTTGTGCAGTGTTGTGGGTTAGTCCGCCTTACTCTTCACCGCGTATTTTATTCGCACGTGATTCAGCCAACAATGGACAATCCCACGCGCGGCTAATGATCAATTTTCAAAGGCTTCGCAAGCAAGGTCTGAGGCTGAGTTCATGAGTTTCTCGTGAGTCTCAGGATGTCTCAGGCCTCCTGAAAGGTTGAACAGATCTGAAAGGCAACGGAAGATATCATTATATAGATACGAGATGGTACGAAAGCAATGCCTGGTAAAGTGCTAAACTAAACTCTCAGACGACACTTCTCTGACACTTCTCTGACACTTCTCATGAATTCGTTGTTCAATTCGTGAGGCTCCAGGAGCCAGAACGGATGTGCTTGCAGAAAGCCACAAGCAAATAAGCACAGCTGCCATAGCCTCCACGGAAAGAAGCGTTCAGCATAGTTTCATTTATTTCTATCAGTTCCTGGTACATCAGTTGCATTGTGCCGGGCCGGGTTGTGCATCTCAGCTTGCCGAAGAACCGAAGACTTTCTACACTTGGAGGGTCCAATAGAAAGGGGGAGAGACTGACCTTCAAAGTCTGATCGGTCACATTTTTATACACGTTCTTGCGCGTGCATTTGTATGCTGGTTCATCTTGAATTGCACTGCTTTCCGGGTGGCATCAACCGTGTCGTCAACAGGTAACACTGGCCATAGCGCAAACTGGTCAGGGAACAAGAAACAGAACGACATAGAACGACATAGCCAGCAGACTCTGCACTTAATGTTTCTTGCTGTTATCCAACTTAGATCAATTTAGATCAATTTCGCACATTTCAAAACCAGGTGTGCCTGGTACCTATTTGTTGCGAGAGCCAGGCCCTGCAAATCTTGGGGACCCAGCCATCCCTTGCTTTTGCAGAAAATTTTGAGGTGGCACAGGGTCAGAGCGCACAGTCATGTCTTCAGAAACGAGCCAAAGATATCCCATGCAAACAAGAGTGCTGATATGTGCTGATATTTTCAAAAACGGGAACCATATCCATCCAGGAATCCATAGGACCATAGGAATCCAATATACCTCATCAGCATCTCGCAATATCTCGCAATATCTCGCAATCCAACAGGTCATCCATCCTGCGTCTTTCTAGCTGCAGCCTTGCTTGGCTCACCACTCCAGCGCCGTAGCCATGGTCAAGACAAAGGCCTCGAAGGAGTCCCATCTCAATCACAATTCCAATACGTATTGCGGTGGTTTGTTTGTGCAAGTATGAGAGTGCATCAGGTATAAGATCTTCGTAGCATTTTGAAGCACTACCATCCCACCAATGTTTGGTTTGACAGAATCTTTCATTGCGCCAAATCAAGTTCTGATTGCACCTCTGCTCGTGTAGCTAGCTTTGGAAAGGGCTCATCGAGTCACACCATGCACTGATCCACTGCACAATTTCGCACAATTTTGCACACGAGATTGCCAGTCTTTGCCGTCTTTGCGACTGAGTCAGGAGGCCATGCGTTGGGCAGATGATGGAGCAGAAGGCCCCATCGAACGATCGCCCAGCGATGCTGGAAACGATTTTGACATTCGAATCTCGGATTTGAATTCTGTCAGATCTGTCAGATGCGACAGTGGCTGCTGGCAGATGCTGGCAGTCCAACGCCTGGATAAAACGCCTGGCCCAAGGTATGCAAGAAGAACCTGACGGTATGTTTCTTGGCTTCACTGGAACCAGGGTCTGATTGAAGAGACCTCAAATGGCTGGTACACATCAAAAAATAATGTAAATGAGGTCACCAAAAACAGGATGATGCAAGTGTGCAAATTTCGTCGGTATTCCTTTGGGTCTTGGATTTGGAACCCAAAATCCCAAAGAGATATTTCCATCATTTTCCATCAGCCAACCTCGTCATCCTCGTCTTGCATCACTGTTTCCCCACACGGTGACAGGGTCTTGGATGGTCAGACTGCCCGAATGCAATTTCGATTCGCGTTGATCTCAGGCAACACCTATAAAGCCTATACTGTATATGATTCAACCACATTCAACCATGATCTGCCATGATCCAATGAATTTCAGCTTTCACCATATATGTTTTGTTTACATGTAGACTCATGTAGACACATCCAAGCCATCTAGCTGGAAAAACAGCTTTCACATGACTTCTAGAGACTGACTTCTTCAAAGCAAAGCAACGCTTTATCCCCAAATTTTGTTGCCTTTCATCGCCCGAAAATTATCATTCAAAATTGTCCACAGGGAAATTGGGTTCAAGCCTATTCAAGCCTCAAGTAAAGACAATCTCTAGATCGATCATTCTTGATTGATAACGATTCATGAGTAAGACAAGATTGAAGTCTATTCCCGAAGAACTTCGAAGGCTTGCGGCTCAGAAGATCGTGCAAGTCCTCAAGGCAGGTCGTGCCACCCACATTTGTGTAATGACAAGATGTGGGAAGGTCCGTAATTTAAGTATCTCAATGTGCAAAAGGTGAGGACAAGGCCATTACAAGGGCCAGCAGGACTTGAGCCATACCTGAGTAATGCTGTAGCAATGCCATGTCCCTGAAGGAGCGAGGCTTCTGTTTGGTTCAGGCCAACGCGCCGATTCCATTGATTCAGACAGCCTTCGAAGAAGCAGAGTCTCTGTGGGAGGAAGGTGTCATGGCTTCATTGGCTGCAAGAAGATGTCCGGAGAGACGAAGAGTCACACAAAGGAAGAATGACATTTCAGCTGAAGCTTAAAACATGCTGACCAGTCCTTGTCGGGCCGATGATACTGTGCACAAACAAGTAGGACTATATAAGTAGGTAACCCATGGTAACCCCACAAATCAGCTATAGATATCCATGCCCCTAATGAACACTGAAGTAGAAGTCTTAGAAGTGTTAGAAGTGTTAGCGGACATGCTGAGGTGAGAGCAGCGTGGGTCACAGTAAAGTCTTTCTGAGACAAATATACAGTAATATACAGGATGCTCAGAGATGCTGTATGATCTGTATGTTTTGTATGTGTGGAGCGGGGTCCAGGATGGTCCAGGGGTCTGGGGAGTCTTGGTGGAAGTTGGTACCAAGGAGAGTTCAAACCTCCCATCCGCGTCCATGACGACCGAAGTTTGCTGGAAGCGCAGCTTTGGAGTCATGCCCTCCAGGAGACGGAAATTGAGCGGAGTAGCGAGTAGCGGAGTGGAGGATCTGGGCTGAGGTGGCAAAGTATTGGCCTTGCAAGGCTTTAATATAATATAATTATATATATATATACAATTACATGAAATATTACTGTAAATAAATAGATAAATCAATAAATGAATAAATGAATAAATAAATAAATAAATAAATAAATATATATATAGTATACGTATTATTACATGAATAGATAACTTGCCTAATTCTTGAACGACAACCCAAAGAAATCAAGACTCATCAAGACGTCCTTTGCTGAGACATTGCTAATGAGCGAATAGAATGGGTACCTTGGAGGGCTTCAACTTGAACCAACTCAGGGGGAAGCAGGTGAAACAACGGATACGGGCAAGGAAATCCCAACCCCCTTGTAGCTTGTTGGCGCGTCCTAGAAATGCGTAATGTGACAAACTGAGAGGCCATTGTCTAGTAAGAAAAGAGTGGGCAAAACAATGGCGAAAACAGTGGCGAGAGCACCAGGCTTTCTTTACAGTTCGCACGATGCTGCGCAATGCCTCAAAGCATCAGTAAAGCTTTCTGTGGACGTTGATCCGGGGAGCCCTCGACATTCCGATAGATTCGGCCCTCGATTAATGTCGATTATATAATTTGGTCGCGCAGATTGATCGCACATTCTACAAAACCATCACACATTTGGAAGGCAGCAGTATCTGGCATTTGCCACATGTTGCCAGCTTGAGTGACAGTGCGAAATCTGACGTGACTGTATTGTTTTGATTCCGGGCACACAGACGTACAGAATTCATCTGAATTCATCTGAATTCATCATGTTTCTTCACCCGTGCCCTGCCATTCTTTCCATTGCACCCCAGGATGTGGAAAGAAGCGTTTGGATTCGTAGCTTGGCCGCGCTGATGTGTCGCACTCACCAGCTGCACCTCTACGCTTGTCCTGGAAACAGGGACAAAGTCAGACCGGAAAGACTTCTGAGTGAATTGGACTGGCTGTATCAGGAGAAGGCGATTCGAAAGCAATTCACCTCAAGAATGCTTTGCATCTTGGCTGCAGTTCAAAATTGCTGAAGCAAGATAGATAAGATATGAAAAGATAGTAATCATAGTGTTGGGGATGGTTCGGGTGCACCTCTATCGGCTTTGCTTGTGAGGAAACTGCTTGGTCGCAACATGGCAGACTTTTGTGCTGGGCTGGGTCCGCTTTTGGAGAAAGAGCTTGGCGTTCCTGGACGGCGAGGATCAATTTTCTATGCACAACGCCCCCGAACAGTGCCATGAGTTGATCATAAGTTGACACAAGCGTTTCTGTCAACCCAGGTTCGCTTTGACAGATTGGGCCAGCCATTGCTCACCTGCTACACTGGTGACGCCACTCATCGAGTGCACATTGATAATCCACATGATGGAGAGGAAGGAAGTCTACCAGACAATGGAATGCGTGACTTGGACATACTTAGTCTTGCACATTCTTTTGCAGCTTTTGATGACTTTAGCCTCAGTGCTCTTCTGATATAAAGACAGTTATATAGATAGGTTATAAAGAAACAGATCGGTTTATAGATAGATAGAACTAGACATAGATGGATGATTGATGGATGGATAATTAGACATGGATATTATATATTATGGACAGAGAGTCAGATGGACAGATATCAGGCAACTAGGTAGCTGGGTAGGTGAGCGGATATGTATGTATAGGTATAGGATGGTAGAGGATTCCGGTACCGGATGGTATAGGATGATATTCGCGAACCACAGCACATCCCATATGCGAGCGTCGTTTTGCTGTTTTTCAAGCTTTTCTGGTCAACACTCGAAGGTGTCTCTTGCACCTACTACATCAACCCGTGCTGGGATCCCGAAGGTGACAACCAGGTGGAGACCCATTCCAGAAGTTTGTGCAGGGAAGGGTGGGTTAGCTAAGAGTCATTCCAGTGATTTCCAGTGACAATAGTGACAATAATTTGTGCATTACTTCAGAATGATCAGCATTCGTGCCTGCGTTCAAGAAAATCTATCTGCAGGGTGGCATGGATATATACATGACGGATCCGTCCATAACAAGCTCTTCATCCAGTGCGAGAAAGTGCCCCAGAACCAGGCAGGCAAAGTTTTTGCAGCTCTGATGGGCCGAATTTCATCAAATCAGTTTGAACATGTTTGAACCTATTTGATTATATAAATATTATATAAATTATATTATATGTCAGAATTCGGTAGAAGTATACTGATATGATATGTTGTGGGATTCTGTTTGATTCTTTCTGGATGTTCATCTTTCCAGTGGTTATTGGGGCTGGGCTCCAGCCCGTGGATCAGGGTGGCGCCGCACATGGACACCTTGGTGTTGCATCTCTCTGAGCGCATCGTTCATCAGATGCTTCCAACCACAGGAAGCTCAGTGCCTTAGATGCAAAATCACTTTGATACAGCCTGCGAAAGAAGGTGATACAAGGTGAAACAAGATTTATCGGGAGATGAAGCGAGATACAACTCCGAAATGGATGGATGCACCCACTTTGTGGGTCCTTTTGGAACAAGGAAACAGAAAGCACCCCGTTGGACTATCCTAAACTGACACGCCTGCACTCAAGTTCGAGGCAAATGGCAGGCAAGGAGTACTGAGGTATTTAATCAGGGATGGATGTATATTATGATATAGTTCTGTTCTGTAGTGACGCACAACGAACACTTTGAAAACTTAAACCGTAAACATGTTCCCCTGTGCATGACATATTGGAGGAGCATTGAAGAGAAGTCCACATGTGAAGCATTCCCCTTCTGGCACATGGCAAATGCCCAGTGCTGCCTGGTGCTGTTTGTTTCCGCCTGCCAAGGACAGATGGTACTCTCTTCAGCTCTGGGCACTTAACGGCGATGCGATGCAGCAAATGTCGAGGACAGCTTGAGCAATCCCAAGATATGAGGTTTATTGATAGGTTTATGTTGATGATTGTTGATGATGGTTTGTGGTACTCCAGCATTCCTTTGGAACAACTTCAGGTGACTGTTGAACCTTGGTCAAGTCTGGGGACTTGATGCAGTTCATGCTGACATGTTATCACATTGTTCATGACGTCTATTCGGGGCAGTCTGGTAGTCTTGACTGAGTCTTGCAAACTCTTCTTGGGCTTGCCTTCCATCCTGGATGTCCATTCTCTCTTTCCAGTGCACAGGAAGCTACTAGCAATGAGGCAACCAGCCAAAGAACCTGATTCCGATGATGACTGAGAACATCGCATGGTGACAAATAACTTCAATACATTCAATACATGTTAACATCTTCAGATGGCGGGAAAGAATGCCGCAAAAGAACCAGACAGTTTCCGAGAAAGGATCTGGCTTTTGGACTGCTCGCATTTGTTTGATTTTTTCATGGTTGCGATTTTCTCATTGTCGGTGCAGCTGAAGCCTTGATGTAGCAGTGCCCAAATGTGCAGAGCAGCTTGGCCTAGCTCAAAAGCTTTGAGCAGAACGAAAAGGAGTAGCAGAAAGTGGGGAATGGAATCAATGCATGCATTTCATAGTATGGTGATATAGGGAGCACACACACACACACACGCATGTATATACCCTAGACTTCTAAAGACATGGTTAAACTCCCGTGTACATGAAAGACACTGGAATACCATGACGTGCGCGTAATTATAGCAAAATAAGGGTGTATCTTTTATCATCAAAATTTTCAGGATTTATGAAGTAAATGCAAAGTTCACCACATTCATTCACGCGCCGAGCACTTACTGTACAGCCTTTTGTTTCATCATAATTGCGTTCCCTTGCGTGCTACCTGCGGGCTTTGAAGCGCACCTGCCGATTCAGAGAGCAAGTGCGCCATTCTAGCACACTCCAATCTCAGATTCGCTGCGCCTTCAAAATTTCAATATCCGAGCCTTCTTGCGCCGCAGATCCTTCCTCACATCTTTGTCAGGGATGCCTTTTAAGCGGGCAATTTCTTTGAACCTGCAGAACTGCTGCTGCTGCTGCTGCTGCGGTGGGCGTGGATCACATTTGCAAGGTGGAACTAAGAATAGCTTGGGATGGCTGAAGGATCCCCTGTTGGCTCTGTAGACAGGGTCCTGATTAAAGATGCCAGGGAAGAAGTCCTGGAAATGTAAAATTGAAGCGCATGGCACACAGCAAATCAAATCAAATTATTTCAAGCGCACAGGTGGCAAAACATAAAATTTAAGGGCTAACGCCCCCTGCCGCCGACCCCTGGAAAAGAACGTGAAGAAGCGGAGGACATCGTGACCGAGGACTGCAAGCAACATCGCAACATCCGCATGGGATTCACCATGTGCGTGAAAAGCTCCAGGAGGTGAGACTTGGGCCTTAGGAGGCGGGGCTGATCCTGCTCGGTTTCCTGACATGATTAGGGAAGATTGTCTCCTCAGACCATCCCTGACCAATCATCAGTAAAAAGCCAAGTCTTGAAGTCGAAGTAACTTTGAGAGAAATCATTTCGGGTCACCTTAACATCAATCACTAACAGTTAGGATATATACTCTATATATTCTTTATATAATTTCAAGATGGATTCAAATGTACTCTGCACATATTCACAGTACCCAAGCAATGATAAGCAATGACAAGCATGTGTTCTACCCATTCTACCTTGTTTTGCCGCACCTCTGCCACCTTTGCCGGGCGCATGCGAAACAGCGCAACAGCAGGGCCTGCTGGTCCCAACCACGTGTCCCAAGGCCAGGCGCCAGTGCCTAACGTTGCTTTCTGAAGCCCTTAGAAAAGTATAGCTCTGAGAGCTGCCGGCTGTGAAACAGCGAAACAGCAGGGCCCTGAGGGACGGACCGGGCCTCCGGGCAACGGCCTCCACTGCCTAACGTCACTTTCTGACCCTACAAGAAAATCTAGCTGTCTTCCAGCCGCCGCGGCTCACAAACGGCGCATCCGAAACAGCGAAACAGCAGGGCCCTGAGGGACGGACCGGGCCTCCGGGCAACGGCCTCCACTGCCTAACGGCACTTTCTGACCCTACAAGAAAATCTAGCTGTCTTCCAGCCGCCGAGGCTCACAAACGGCGCATCCGTTGCTTTCTCAGCAGGGCCTGCTGGTCCCAACCGCGTGTCCCAAGGCCAGGCGCCACTGCCTAACGTTGCTTTCTGAAGCCTTTAGAAAACTAGCTCTGGAAGCCTACAAGAAAATCTGGCTGTCTTCCAGCCGCTGAAGCTCACAAACGGCGCCTGTCTGTTTGTCTGTCTGTCTGTCTGTCTGTCTGTCTGTTAGCTTCACAAGACTTCCCTAGAAAGCTCTGGTTCTTTTTTGGCATAGGTGATGAACTCTGTCTGTCTGTCTGTCTGTCTGCCTGCCTGCCTGCCTGCCTGCCTGCCTGCCTGGCTGCCTGGCTGCCTGGCTGCCTGGCTGCCTGGCTGCCTGGCTGCCTGGCTGCCTGGCTGCCTGCCTGCCTGCCTGCCTGCCTGCCTGCCTGCCTGTGTCTGTCTGTCTGTCTGTCTGTCTGTTCTGTCTCTCTCTGTCTCTCTGTCTCTCTGTCTGTCTGTCTGTCTGCCTGTCTCTGTCTGTCTGTCTGTCTATCTGTTTGTCTGTCTGTTTGTCTGTCTCTATCTGTCTGTCTGTCCCTTTCCGCGTGAACCTGGCCCGTCCTAACGACGCGTTCGGAAACCCTTTGAAAAGTAACTCTAGAAGCTGCCGGCTGCCACCTTTGCCGGGCGCATGCGAAACAGCGCAACAGCAGGGCCTGCTGGTCCCAACCGCGTGTCCCAAGGCCAGGCGCCAGTGCCTAACGTTGCTTTCTGAAGCCCTTAGAAAAGTATAGCTCTGAGAGCTGCCGGCTGCCACCTTTGCCGGGCGCATGCGAAACAGCGCAACAGCAGGGCCTGCTGGTCCCAACCGCGTGTCCCAAGGCCAGGCGCCAGTGCCTAACGTTGCTTTCTGAAGCCCTTCGAAAAGTATAGCTCTGAGAGCTGCCGGCTGCCACCTTTGCCGGGCGCATGCGAAACAGCGCAACAGCAGGGCCTGCTGGTCCCAACCGCGTGTCCCAAGGCCAGGCGCCACTGCCTAACGTTGCTTTCTGAAGCCTTTAGAAAACTAGCTCTGGAAGCCTACAAGAAAATCTGGCTGTCTTCCAGCCATTGAAGCTCACAAACGGCGCCTGTCTGTTTGTCTGTCTGTCTGTCTGTCTGTCTGTCTGTCTGTTCTGTGTCTGTCTGCCTGTCTCTGTCTGTCTGTCTATCTGTCTGTCTGTCTGTCTGTTTGTCTGTCTCTATCTGTCTGTCTGTCCCTTTCCGCGTGAACCTGGCCCGTCCTAACGACGCGTTCGGAAACCCTTTGAAAAGTAGCTCTAGAAGCTGCCGGCTGCCACCTTTGCCGGGCGCATGCGAAACAGCGCAACAGCAGGGCCTGCTGGTCCCAACCGCGTGTCCCAAGGCCAGGCGCCACTGCCTAACGTTGGTTTCTGAAGCCCTTATAGAAAAGTATAGCTCTGAGAGCTGCCGGCTGCCACCTTTGCCGGGCGCATGCGAAACAGCGAAACAGCAGGGCCTGCTGGTCCCAACCGCGTGTCCCAAGGCCAGGCGCCACTGCCTCACGTTGCTTTCCGAAGCCCTTAGAAAAGTAGCTCTGGAAGCTGCCGGCTGCCACCTTTGCCGGGCGCATGCGAAACAGCGAAACAGCAGGGCCTGCTGGTCCCACCCGCGTGTCCCAAGGCCAGGCGCCCCTGCCTAACGTTGCTTTCTGAAGCCCTTAGAAAACTAGCTCTGGAAGCTGCCGGCTGCCACCTTTGCCGGGCGCATGCGAAACAGCGAAACAGCAGGGCCCTGAGGGACGGACCGGGCCTCGGGCAACGGCCCCCACTGCCTAACGTCACTTTCTGACCCTACAAGAAAATCTAGCTGTCTTCCAGCCGCCGCAGCTCACAAACGGCGCATCCGTTGCTTTCTGAAGCCCTTAGCAAAGTAGCTCTGGAAGCTGCCGACTGCCACCTTTGCCGGGCGCATGCGAAACAGCGAAACAGCAGGGCCTGCTGGTCCCAACCGCGTGTCCCAAGGCCAGGCGCCACTGCCTAACGTTGCTTTCTGAAGCCCTTAGAAAACAAGCTCTGGAAGCTGCCGGCTGCCACCTTTGCCGGGCGCATGCGAAACAGCGAAACAGCAGGGCCCTGAGGGACGGACCGGGCCTCCGGGCAACCCTACAAGAAAATCTAGCTGTCTTCCAGCCGCCGCAGCTCACAAACGGCGCATCCGTTGCTTTCTGAAGCCTTTAGAAAAGTAGCTCTGGAAGCTGCCGACTGCCACCTTTGCCGGACGCATGCGAAACAGCGAAACAGCAGGGCCCTGAGGGACGGACCGGGCCTCCGGGCAACGGCCTCCACTGCCTAACGTCACTTTCTGACCCTACAAGAAAATCTAGCTGTCTTCCAGCCGCCGCAGCTCACAAACGGCGCATCCGTTGCTTTCTGAAGCCCTTAGAAAAGTAGCTCTGGAAGCTGCCGACTGCCACCTTTGCCGGGCGTAGAAAACTAGCTCTGGAAGCTGCCGGCTGCCACCTTTGCCGGGCGCATGCGAAACAGCGAAACAGCAGGCCCTGAGGGACGGACCGGGCCTCCGGGCAACGGCCCCCAGTGCCTAACGTCACTTTCTGACCCTACAAGACAATCTAGCTGTCTTCCAGCCGCCGCAGCTCACAAACGGCGCATCCGTTGCTTTCTGAAGCCCTTAGAAAAGTAGCTCTGGAAGCTGCCGACTGCCACCTTGGCCGGACGCATGCGAAACAGCGAAACAGCAGGGCCCTGAGGGACGGACCGGGCCTCCGGGCAACGGCCTGCACTGCCTAACGTCACTTTCTGACCCTACAAGAAAATCTAGCTGTCTTCCAGCCGCCGCAGCTCACAAACGGCGCATCCGTTGCTTTCTGAAGCCCTTAGAAAAGTAGCTCTGGAAGCTGCCGACTGCCACCTTTGCCGGGCGCAGATGGCGAAACAGCGAAACACAGGGCTTGCTATGGTCCAAAACCGAGTGTCAAGGCCAGGGCGCCACTGTCTAACGTGGTTCTGAAGCCCTGAGGAAAACTAGCTTCTGCGAAGCGCCGGATGCCACTTTGCGGGACGCCATGGCGGAAACAGCGAAAACAGCAGGGCCCTGAGGGCGGACCGGCCTCCGGGCACGGCCCCCAAGTGCCTAACGTCATTGTCTGACCTTACAGAAAATCTAGCTGTCTTCCAGCCGCCGCAGCTCACAAAGGGCGATCCGGTTGCTTTCTGAAGCCCGTAAAAAGTAGCTCTGGAAGCTCCGAACTCTGGTGACCACAGGGGGTCCCGCCACCTTTTGCCGGACGCCATGACGAAACACGAAACAGCAGGCTGAGGGACGGACCGGGCCTCGGCAAGGCCCCCAGTACCTAACGTCACTTTCTGACCCTACAAGAAAATCTAGCTGTCTTCCAGCCGCCGCAGCTCACAAACGGCGCATCCGTTGCTTTCTGAAGCCCTTAGAAAAGTAGCTCTGGAAGCTGCCGGCTGCCACCTTTGCCGGGCGCATGCGAAACAGCGAAACAGCAGGGCCCTGAGGGACGGACCGGGCCTCCGGGCAACGGCCCCCACTACCTAACGTCACTTTCTGACCCTACAAGAAAATCTAACTGTCTTCCAGCCGCCGCAGCTCACAAACGGCGCATCCGTTGCTTTCTGAAGCCCTTAGAAAAGTAGCTCTGGAAGCTGCCGACTGCCACCTTTCCCGGACACATGCGAAACAGCGAAACAGCAGGGCCTGCTGTCCCAACGCAGTTGTTTCCAAGGCCAGGCGCCACTGCCTAACGTTGCTTTCTGAAGCCCTTAGAAAACTAGCTCTGGAAGCTGCCGACTGCCACCTTTGCCGGGCGCATGCGAAACAGCGAAACAGCAGGGCCCTGAGGGACGGACCGGGCCTCCGGGCAACGGCCTCCACTGCCTAACGTCACTTTCTGACCCTACAAGAAAATCTAGCTGTCTTCCAGCCGCCGCAGCTCACAAACGGCGGAATAGTGCTCTCTGAAGACCTTAGAAAAGTAGCTCTGAGCTGCGGCTGCCAACTTTGCCGGCGCGAATGCGAAACGAGAAACAGCAGGGCCCTGAGGACGGACCGGGCCTCCGGGCAACGGCCCCCCCCAGTGCCTGTTCTTACAGCCGCCGCAGTCCACAAAAGGAGCATCCGTGCTTTAATGAAGCCCTTAGAAGAGTAGCTCTGGAAGGCCGACTGCCACATGCCGGGCGCATTGCGACTTGCGAAAACAGACGAAACAGGCAGGGCTGCTGGTCCCAACGCGTTTGTACCAAGGCCAGGCGCCACTGCCCTAACGGTGCTTATGAGCCCTTAGAAAAGTAGCTCTGGAAGCTGCCGACCGCCACCTTTGCCGGACGCATGCGAAACAGCGAAACAGCAGGGCCCTGAGGGACGGACCGGGCCTCCGGGCAACGGCCTGCACTGCCTAACGTCACTTTCTGACCCTACAAGAAAATCTAGCTGTCTTCCAGCCGCCGCGGCTCACAAACGGCGCATCCGTTGCTTTCTGAAGCCCTTAGAAAAGTAGCTCTGGAAGCTGCCGAATGCCACCTTTGCCGGGCGCATGCGAAACAGCGAAACAGCAGGGCCCTGAGGGACGGACCGGGCCTCCGGGCAACGGCCCCCACTGCCTAACGTCACTTTCTGACCCTACAAGAAAATTTTCTAGCTGTCTTCCAGCCGCCGCAGCTCACAAACGGCGCATCCGTTGTGTTATGAAGCCCTTAGAAAAGTAGATCTGGAAGCTGCCGCTGCCACCTTGACGGGCGCCTGCGAAACAGACGAAACAGCTTTGTCTGTCTGTCTGTCTGTCTGTTCTGTCTCTCTCTGTCTGTCTGCCTGTCTGTCTCTGTCTGTCTGTCTGTCTATCTGTCTGTCTGTCTGTTTGTCTGTCTCTATCTGTCTGTCTGTCCCTTTCTGTCTCTTTCTGTCTGTCTGTCTGTCTGTCTGTCTGTGTCTGTCTGTCTGTCTCTATCTGTCTGTCTGTCTGTTTGTCTGTCTGTCTGTCTGTCTGTCTCTCTGTCTGTCTGTCTGTCTGTATCTGTCTGTATTTGTCTGTCTGTCTATCTGTCTGTCTGTCTGTCTGCCTGTCTCTCTGTCTCTCTCTCTCTCTCTGTCTCTCTCTGTCTCTCTGTCTCTATCTGTCTGTCTCTGTCTGTCTGTCTCTCTGTCTCTGTCTGTCTCTATCTGTCTCTGTCTGTCCCTTGAGCATTCTTCAGGGCAGGCCTTCTCCAGCGCGCTCCCCCAGCATCCGGCTGGGGTCGGCGGATAACATCTATAAAAAATGGATATTTAATAGATATGTTTCATATTTTTTCTTGTCATTTTCTGTTGCTCGTAATGGCTATGGTTTTAAATCGGTGTTTGATTGGAGCCTTCATGGCCAGGTTGATGGATGAGAGCAAGTTCTTGCAAAACAATCCACGGCTGGGGATCCATCCGCAGGAGACAGTGGATTTAGGAAAGCCATAGAAAATATAGAAGCCGAAGTCAAAAATTCAAGAGTTTCAATATGTTTCAATTCATTTCCACGTACTTCGATGATTTACTACTGATGTATGGCTTTGAAGTCTTGGGCTAGTTTTGCCGTGTTGTACCATGGTTTTAGCAACTTTGGGAAGATTCCGGACATGATCATACGCCATGTCTGCTTCGGTGACGTGCACAGCCAGGAGAAACGTGCAGCACAGGTTGTGATCAAAGAACTTGAGGTTCGGAGCAGTGGTTTGCTCGACACTGTTCACACTTTGGTGAGACTCCGCTTTTCGTTGCGCCGGATAAGACAAAACGACGAAACGCAGTGAAAAATGAAAAGAGAGCGCCAAGATGTCCGCAACAATCCGGCATTTAACGCTCTGCCGTGCAGAAACCATGCTTTGCAGGCCTACTCCACCAAAGCAGGTGGTCCACTGATCGTGGAGGCGCAGCAAACGGCTCAAACATCTGCGCCGTCCGTGCCGTTTGGAATCCGACGCGCCAGGAGTTGGAATATGTCCCAAACCGATCAAACCTCAAAGTCGGAATCTGAGTCTGAGTATTCTGCCTGGAGCTGACGTTGAGTGACTTTGGATCAAAACACGGGAAAATTTGCGTAACATGTTGTGTTACAGGATATCGGAAAATTGGCAATTTCGACATGTTGACACCCTAATTTGACAATTTCGAAGGGCGGCGCGGCGAGGTCACCTACAAAGGCACCACCGCTTCGACCATTTCATTCGTTGCTCCCCCAGCGATCCGCACGGTGAAAAAGCGAAAAAGCACGGCTCGGCGGAGTTTTTTCAGACTGTAGCAGGGAGTCTGAGCAAACACTTGCACACAGCCAGAGTAGCAAGCTCTGCTTGCTGAGGTTGGAAGCCACTTCGATGTCGTGCCAGCTGAACCAGAGCAGTGGTCCAAGGAGCGCATAGAAGAACTGCTGTCATGTGCTGTCAAACAGATGTTGCCACGATACACAAAAAGATACAAAAAGTGAAACGTGTTTCGACTGCCTGTCCGATTTGTCTCAGTACCAAAGTGTTCCAAACATCTAGCTGCTATAGTTGGTGCCAGGATCCTTTCCATCTGACTGTGGAGGATGATAATCTCTACGGACGTGGAACAACTGATTGCTTAGGCAAGCTATCGCAAGCTGTATTGAGCCTTTGTAGCCTATGCTGGTAGTTTCCTTGTGTTTCCTTGTGTTTCATTTCATTTCATTTCCTTCTTGGTTCTTCATTTGAGTTCAGTGTCATGAGCCACCATAAGCCACCTAGCCTCCCTTTTTCTGCGTCTAGGCCATGTGGCTCTTTTGACGTGCTTCTTGCGAGAACTTGGGCGAACCAAGCCGAAGCTCAAGAGAAGCAGCTTCGAGCGCAGTCAGAATGCATGATGCCAGCCATGTCAGCCAGAAGTCAGCCATGTCATAACAAGACATGCTTTGGTGACACTGGTGGCATTTGATGCTTGCAAATTTTGCTGAAGGTAACACGAACACGAAGCATTGAGCAAGGTTGGAATTCAAGCCCCACCAAGCCCCACTATTTGTTTCCGCAGCAGAATCGCCACAGAGGCCAAAGGCCAAAGTGCCACTCTCACCGCCGAGTCTGCCACTGCCCCGAGGTATTGTGGTAGTCTTCATTGCTGCCGAGGAGGGCGCCGAAAAGAACGTGGGAGTGGACAAGGTCCTGGAGAAAGGGAAGTTGGAAGAGGCCGTGGCCGTGGCCAGATGTGAGACTGAACACATATGAGACTGAACACCAATGTAAAACATTGCATTCCAAAATCATCCAAAATCTATAAAGACAAATCGCAATAGACGTGTCTAGAGGGATTAGAAGGCAGCCAAAGACAATGATGCGATGCCCAAAAACTGTCTGCGATGTGTGGTTTTTGTGTCGTTTTGTGTCTAGGCGAAGAATGGACCTGTCTATTGGGCAGCGCACTGAGAGCGATCGAATCCGAGAGGGATCCTGGATCCACCGATGATTCTTGAGCTCTGCCCTTCCCTGACAGAAACAGATGCAGTTTCCAGGTTATTTCACTGTATCTTGTAGCTGAAAGTTCGTGGACCTGATCCGCTTGGCAAGGGGTTGACATAGTGTGAGAATGTTTGACATATTTTGACATCATTTGGCAAATCATTTGGCAAATCATTTAGATTTTCATACATCATTTAAATGTTATACATGTCGAAAAGAATGTGATGCTGCGTGAAAAAACGTGGACACCTGGGAGATCCTCCGGAGATCCTCCAATTCCAGGTGGACAGCGCCGACTCCAACCCATGTTGTGGAACAGCTGGCGCCATCTCGTGGTGCGCCACCGCCGAAACGCAAAAATCGGAGCGACTGCTTTGGTCTTGTGGATTCCCGTGGATTCCGCCGCAGGTCATTGAAATGCAAGGGCAGACTTTTCCACAGTGGCTGCTTGGACGTTTTGTGATATGTCTTGTGATATGATGTTTTGTATGTTTTCATCATATTTTCGTGGGAAGAGTGGAAGAGATGGGGTCAGATGGGGATTGCCGGGATTGCGATTTAGTTTTGAACAAGGCACATAGGATATCATGGAATCACCTGTTCCGTGTTGAACACGTTGAAGACGTTGAACACTTCAGCTGCTGCCAAGGCTTTCCCAACAAGGCCATCAATTCCATTGAGATGGCCCAAGAGGCCGGGGCCGTCCATATGTGGTGAGTTTGGATATGTTTGGATCTGGATCTGAGGCTATGGGCTTCCTCCAGGACTGATTCGGGCTGGCCATGGACTGGCCATGGACCTTGCGAAGTGAGTCTGAAGAGTTGGAAGCCAACTGCGGAGGAGAGGTTCTACAACGACTTCCCTCCATTGCCAGAGGAGGGCCTCTACTCTTTTACCACAGGGTGCCTTGGATGAAAGCATTGAATAAAGCATTGAACTAAGTTCAAGAACGGATTCCAAAGAGGACACACAGCGCATCCAATAAACATTCAATAAAACATGGTGTAGAGATGTGTAGATCCTATAGATTCATATAGATCCTAGATCAAGAAACACATGAACCACTCGATAAACATCCCATTCTTGGTTTTTGAACTTGGTACGTCTCCGATCCAGCGATCCAGCCGAGGTCACATATGAAACCGACCCAAATCGAATGTTCCAAGGGCTCCTTCAACCAGATCCCAGCAGAGACCACCATCCATGGCGACATCAGGCAGCGGGGCGGCGCAGCAGAGCGGTGTTTCACCTTACGTTCCTAAAAGTAGAGGCCCCGGAAATAGGCCCTGTATACATCCCATTAAAATTCTCTATGAACAGGACAACATATACAGAATAAGTATAATCTATGTGTATATATATATTATATCATATAATATAATATATAAAATTATTTTGGTGCTGCAAAGAAGAGCAGCTGAATGCCAATGTGTTTATCATGGTTTATCAGCCTGGATTTACTTCGTGTGTCCAGGCTCTCACCTTTCTATGAGGTGGAGGATGTGGTAGAGCACATTGAACAGTACATCAAGGAGAGATGTTCTGATTTCAGATTTATGGATTTATTAAGGAATTATTGTATTTCTTGTAGAATTCCGTGTGCAAAGTCCCAAGATGTTTTTGACAGCAGTGTTCAAATGGGATTATGAAATCGTCAAGTGGTTCAAATCCGATGTTCCAAACAGCAGCATATTGACCTTCCATCTCAAAGAGGTGATCTAGCACACCAATGCTGGGAGATGTTGAGCTGACCGCAGGATTTGAACAGCGAGCTCAATGATCTGGAAACGCACAATCGAGGAGAACATATTTCGTCCAATGTTGCAACATATTCCAACATAAACGAGTAAGTTGGTAACAATCCTACGGTTCCATGCAAGGGGTTGGAGTTGGAATGCAACATATCGCAACAGCCAAGCAATGCCATATTGCACAGCCGGGCACTTCTCGCAGGACCTTGGAGTAAATTTGTGTTGCCCTTGAACGTGCAGGCACCGAAATCCAAAACCAGGAACGAGTTTCGAAAGTTTCGTAGCTTCCCCATTGGGGGATTTTTGTTTGTCCCAGTTTTCTCACCCCTTTGTTTTCACAAGACATTCAAAGCAGCATTCACGACACAAAATGGACCTTTGATGACCTTTGTGCATTGCCTTTCATCACCAACATCACTGTCCTTTGCGCAATGCGCAGCATCTTGGCTGCGAGGTTCAAGATGGTGAACTTCGGAAGGGAAAGGCGGATGGAGCGGGTGCAATTGGCACATCAAAAAAGCACAGAAGCACTGATACCAACACTGCATGCACTGTTTTTCCCCTGGGTTGTCAGTACACCAGCACCGTACAGCAGCACCTTCCAAGACCTTCCAAGACCTTAACGGAGTGATTGGATCTGTGGAGCAGGTGGAGCTGAATTGGATGGGAAATATGGACACCTTTAAGCTCTACGCCGGCATCGCCGTGAAACTGGAATCGGATGGCCACAAGGCCCCCCGTTTTGCGTCTCTGACCGCTTTAGGTTCGAAGATTTGTGGACTGGATTCTATGTTGATTCTAGCCTATTCTATGTTGATTCTATGTTGATTCTATGTTGATTCTATGTTGATTGTTATTGATCATGCAGAACTGGCCTGCACTGAAAACTCTGTGTCAATTGTGAGACTCCACTGTGTACTCAGTCTACCCGTTGTTGATTTCTTGCAGGCTTTGGTGCAAGCCTTCCGGGAAAGCAATGACGGACCTGCCGCTCCGCTGTGCAGTTGTGACGGCTGGAACACGCCAAGACTGGGTGGAGTACGACACAGGCACACAGTTTTTGTGAATGTACATTTCTAGCAATTTCTTGCCCATATTCCAGGGCCGAACATATTCCATGCCAAAATAGCTGGGAAATTTCAGGGAATTGCGAAGACCCCTTTCAGGTGAAATTTGTATTTCATACAGTTTGCCAAGTATTCCTTTTCTTCTGGCGCGTACGTTGTCGACTGCACATGTTCTTCCCCAAAGAAGATCCTTACTTTCAACAATTTCTGGAAATGTCATAATTAAAAATGTTGAGTTTTCCAAAAATGGATTAATAATGTTCTTATGGAAATTTGTCATCTACACTTTTCACGATCCCAAAACCCAATTCATAAGCTTTAAGCTTATGTTCTGGCACGCTTGGCTGGCCTTTCATCAGCAGCGCCATCCCCATCTTTCTTGACATCTTTATGGCCCCGCAAAGAGCTCTGCACAACAGGATCTGGGAACACAAATCATCGACGATCCTGTTTTCTTCCGTGCAAAATAATTCCACCGATAGAGTACGATGCCACCCCTGGAGTGCGCTAATTTTCTGGAATGCGAAAATAAAACAGTATGCGTGGCCCCCTTCGACCTTCCCCATGAATCCAACACCAATTTTTTCCATCATATACCAGAAAATTATCACATTTCACCCTGCTGAGCTTTTTTTTTCTTTTTTCTTTTTTTTTTGGCCAAAATTGCCTGGAATGCGATAGTATGTGCAACTACAGACGTCTCACGAAAAACCGCTACCTTTCCCATATTCCAGAAAACGTGATTCCAGGCGATTTTAGCCAAATAAAAAAAAAAACGAAAAAAAAAAGAAACAAAATCGAAAAAAACGAAAAATTACCGAGTACGAAGATTTTATGGAGTGCGAAGATCTTGCAGAGTGCGTGGATTTTATAGTATGTGCGCGTCCCTAGCTGTGGAGTGCGATGTCCCAGGTGGAGTGCGAAGAATTTGTGGAATGCGAAGAATTCCGAGTATGCGTGGCTGGTATAGAGACCACATAGGGAAATTTCGCGGCCAGAACCAAAATTCCAATCCCAAAGCCGGCCCAAACTTCCAGGGGCACACCAGTGGGTTCTATTTTTCCAAGTTCACCTTGGGTGAGGTCCCGGGGAAGAAACTTGCTAATTTTTACTTAGACAACCTTTAAAAACGTTACCTTTGACAACCCTGTCCTTCTTCTGTAGACAAATGAGGAAACTTCCTTATCAAAGCAGCCTTCAATTCATTCAACGTCCACAGCTCCTTTGGAACGACATAGGGGATAGAAAGCTGTGGAGGGGCATTCAATGGATTCGCCGTGGGCCAACTGTTCCTTCCAGATTGAGCTGAAATGCCTATCAAAGTAACATACCAAAACCCAGGTCTGGAGTACGATGAAAACATGGTATGCGAAGATTTTCTGAATATGGGAATGTTGCCTTTAGAACATTGTTTGTATTTGCATATTTACACATACGTATCATACATTGTTATAGTAAGATTCATGACAAATTGCAGACATGTATATACGTATATATATATATAATATGTATATCGTTTGCATGTATTTAATTTTTTGAAGCATGCATAACATAAATACATAATATATATATATAATGTAATTATATATACACATATTGCACATTTGTTTGCAGTAGTGTGACATCATCGTGCTTGCCATAGTGAGAGAATTGCAGGAGTGTCGCCATTTAGCATCAATGGTTCTCTTCCGTTGCAGTCTCAGACTTCCAGGACACCTTAAGGTACTCATGGAACCGATATCGGATAGTCAGAGACTGCCAGGTCGTACCGAGCGATAACAAGAGCAGAACTTCATCGGATAGGTTTGACATGGTTTGACCACATTTTTTTGATTCATATATTAAATATATTATGTGAGGCAAAGTTTCCGAGCTTCGCGTGTAACGAAAACTCTGATGATTCAACAAGACCACAAACCACCATGGATGATTCTTGAAGATTTGCGCTTTGCTTGGAATGGGAAGGATCATGGTTCAAAGGAGATGGCATTATGATGGTTATGATGTCGTAGATGTTTCTTGTGGGAGACTCGAAAATCGAG